AGACATCTGTAGCTTGTGTTAATAGGATCTTACAATGTGCACCAGTTTTGATTAAAAATAGAAAAAAAAGGGTCATGCTGTGCTGGTAACTTTCATCTCATTTCTCTGTCTTGGATGTGCACAGAACCACTGCACTTGTACCTGTGAGCAGCGTTCGTCTCTATCTGATGGCGGAGATTTGTCACCTGCATGTGTTTTAACTGTCATTTAGTTTAAGTGTTATAGTGTATAGTGTTTATCATTTTAAACAGTAAAGATGTAAGGCTTTTTTTTTTCTTTCTTTCTTTTTTTTTGTTTTTGTTTGTTTTTCTCATGTGTGTTATCTGCACTCTCACTTCTGTTTGCAGCATTTCACATTCAATACATCTGTTCCAGCACAGTTGACCCACCCATAAAGTGGTAGTGTAGAATTTACAGCTAAGGAAGGAAAGCATTGTGTATGGTTATTTGCCAAATGGGTTCTGCTTGTTTTGTGTAATGATTTAACATCCAGTTTGTATGAAGGAACAGACCAAAGTAATATATTTTTCTTTGTTTTTAATGAGATTTTTTGGGGGGTAGTTTAGGGTAGGATGTACAAACGTTAGTGAGTGCTCCATTATTAGTTTCTTGGTGTGGGGGTCAGTGGGATTTTATAATTGTGCAGACGTCTTTTCCTGCATCTTGAGAACCTCATGTAGATAGGTGTTATTTATCTGCATTTGCAAAATATACAACTATGGGGTATTTGAACAGAAAGGTACTGTGATACTCCTAGCTCCCCTATCTACTTTTTGAGGCTAAAACGGGTGTATTATTGCGGCCAGAGAAGTTTTCCAATCAGAGAGGTTTGTTCAATGTCATGATGCAAGATGGTAAATATTTTTACCTTTTCCCCCCCACAGACATGTGTATATATTTAAAATATTAAAGTTACCACCAACCTCATTAAAATCTAAATTTTCAATAAACTAAGCATTGACTAGCAACATTTTCACAAGGCCAGAATGAAGTTAATTTCATGGCTACAAAAAAAAAAAGGAATTTTGGAAGCTTGGAAGTTACATCTGTTTGAAACTGGTGTCCAGTTGGAGATGTTTTTACGATTTAATGCTCCTTTAGTCATTCTACGCTTCTGGAGTCCGCAATAAACTTTCTTCTGTCCTAGTCATCCTGAACTGCAAGCATTTTTCATGGATTATTTTTCTTGTTAAATTGCCTGATTGCACTTGGGTTTATGATAAGCAAATGACAATTACTATCAATTTTTTTTTATACTTGTGTTTTACCAAAATATTACATAGTGCAGAATTTCAGGCCATATCTTTCTGTTTATTGCTAAGGGCATATAGTTGTACCAAATATTGAGCTTTTCCCAAGTTAGTGACACTAACAGTGTATTATATATTCAGTTTAGGAGTTACAGCATATATTAATTATGCATTAACTTTCTTTATGTTGGAGATTAATCTGGAACTTTACTGTAGTATGGTCAAGGGGACTTTGTACAAACTAATAATACATTTATTATATTTCCAAAAGTTCTGTGCTTGTTATATCTATAGTAATTTCCCATGTGGCGCAGATTTTAGGCAGCTCTATTTTAGGGAACCCATTGGCTGAAACTTTAATTGAATAAATATTTATTTCCATAACTTGCTGCTACAACCATTTGATCTAGATTGAAATGTGAATAAATTAAGTCACCATATTTTGTGTTTTATTTCAATACCTTGATTGTTTCTAATTGTCAAAACAGGAAATACAATTCTTTATACTCTTATTTTACACAATCACGCACATGTGCCAACTGTGGCGGCCCCCATAATGTATTTTATAGGGGCTGCCCCACCTACAAATTTGAATCTGAGGTAGCAACTCTCAGATTCAAACTCGGACTCACACTGCGTGAAGCCAGACAGGAAGCACGTCGACGTGGATTCTCTCTTACTCCTTACTCCAGTAATACTGCTCATCCTAACACTTCTCCTAAACCCACCCCTCCTACATCTAACCCCACCTACCTTCCCCAGTCAAACTCTTTTGCCATCCTAAATCCAGATACTCCAATCACCACTACAACCCCAACACCTTCCCCTCTCCCTCCTCGCACTCCCCGTAACAGACAGAACAAACGTTCCACCCCCTCTTCCCCTACCACACAATCACCCTCACCATCCTTTGCCCGTACTCTTGAGACACCAGTCCTCTCTTCCCCCCCTCACAAGAAATCCTTTATCCCCCAAAACTCCCCAACCAACTCCACAGAAGAAACTATTGAAAATATTCAAGATTACTTAATGAAAACCGACACTCAACCTACAACTGCTCCTTCATTTAATTGCTGATATCCATCCTCCTCCTAACGATATCCCCCCTACACCCTACCCTCCTACCCCCTCCCAACACAGCCCATCCCCCCTGACCCCAACCCTGCCCACATTAACTCTCCCACCATCCCCTCTATCCCTTCCACTCCCTCCTGGATACACACGTGAATCCCTTATGTCACAAGTATCCCCTTCCTCAGACCCTCCATCTCCTAATACCCCTCCTGATAGAACACCAACTCCCACACCTCTCCCATCTCAAACCTCTCTGTCCTTATCCCACCCTCTAGCTGCTTCCCCTTCAAATTCTCCAACACGTACTACAATCTATATCACTAAATCAACGAAAGTATAACTATCCTTCATTGGAATATTCGCGGTTTCCGCTCCCACAGACCTGACCATCATATCCTTTCCTCTTATAACCCATCTATTGTAAGCCTTCAAGAAACCTTTCTTATGCATACCCTTTATCTAATATAACACCCGACCTTAACCCTTTCACTCACTAATTCCTTTGCCCAGCTTAGACAACTAATCACGAACTCAACCACCCTTCACTAACATTAACTATAGTGCTACATGACCTTAGATGTCTAGCACATTTATCTTGCTTTTAACCATTAACCATTAACCATTAACCATTATACTCTTATTTCAAAGTGTAAAAAGACAGAGAAATACCCTTGAAAATGTAATTTGTGAAAATAATTATATCATGCTTTTGAACAAATACCATCATAGAAATGGAATGTACAGAAATGCTATGTCCACTGTAAAACTAGTTTTGTAGAGCCATGTATGTATAAAAAGTGTGTTTAGTCACCCAGGTGTCTATTACTTGTCCTCCTGATCTCACCTGTTTACCCTTTTCCTTGATTTTTGGAAAAAAAATATTTTATATTGCTATTATTAACATAAAAATAATATATGTACATCATCATAACATTGATATAAACATTGGAAAAAAAAGTCCTGAAAACTTCAGGAAAGGGTAAATTAGTTAAGATCACATGTCTCCTAATTGGCCCCTTGGTGGCTGAGCACTTTGGACTCTTCTGTATGGAAGGATTTAATGAAACTACAGTGGCAGTGGATTGATAACTTAATAACTGAAGCTGGGATAGTCATAACTGCCCTTAGAAGAGCTGGTTGGTCTTCACATGAGGTAAACTTTTGGCTCATCTAAATATGTATTAAGCAGTCAACCCCTTATACATTTGCAGTTTCCTATGCAACTACTGAAACCTCAATGGTAGTTTTCATTGACCCATCATCTTTCTCCCCTCTTTCTTTCTTTCTTTCTCTTGTAATTTTAGAAGTTTATAATGGTTCTCTTTGTTGGATTTCACAAGGCACTTTTGGGTCTCCACCACTACTTACAATAGAGATGTGGCTTAGAAAAATTGTATCCTCATTCTCTAGTCAACTTGGTAAATTTTGACGACTAACCCCTCAATTCAAAACAAAAATAAACCAAAAATAAACAAATTAATAATAATAATCTAAAAAAGGTACACAAAGGTACTTTACATTGCAAAATTTTATGTAATTGTACTCTACATTGCAGAATTTACTGCAACTGTATCAAGTTCTACTATAAAATAAGCTGCCTTTAGGCATCAATTTGCAAGTAAAATAGACATGTATGCAGGGAAATACAGTATCAATGCAATAATATGCATAGCAAACAATATTCAATGAAATATTATTTGAAGTAGCTTTAGCAAAATACACACATCAGGGCCAAGATGTATTACTTGGTAATAAAAAAAATCTAAATAATAGGCAAAAAATAATAAATATAATTCCTGTTTTACAAAGGCAAGATAAACTGTTTTCGTGCTGTGAAAATCTTTAATGATATAAAAAATTCTTAAAGAACATCGATAATTACAAATATACTTTAAGAATTCCTGTTCACTATGACATAAGAAGCTTAGCATTTCAAGTGAACTTTACTAAATTCATGCCAGAAAACTTTATAAAAATTCTAAAATATTTTTGTAAAACACTGGATGTTAATCTGACATATATCAAATGTTATGGTAATATTCAAGGCAATGTCTTTTTGGAAATTACTCCTCTTTATTAACAAAGCACCAAAATTAGTATAAAGACCATTAATTCTATATTATTCTTGTTAATTTCTAGTTAAGGCTTTTTTTTTTTTTTTTTAGAACCAAATTTAAGACATTAATAAACTAGTACCATATCCCAATAACAAATATAATCTGTAAACCTTAAAAAAAAAAAAAAAAAATCTTGAAAAATCCATGGAACCTGCACATTACAAATCAAAATCTTATCCCTCGTTATCAAGGAGATTCATAATGTTTTCTTATGTACCTGCTAAGTAAGGTATAGTATGGTATGTGAATGAATGGGAGTTAAGATGGCTGTTTGTACTCCAGTTACTCCTTGAAGTGGTGATGACAACCTATGGAGCAGAATGGTACGTGAGATTGCACTTGAGATATTGCATCTGTGAGACGTTGAATATGCACATGGTTCTTGCATGAAAAAGAGGTTGGTTGTAGCTAACCTCTTTACAAGGAACAAATTAAACACAAATGACAACTAAGGCAAATTCCATACCCACTAATTTTGTTTAGCTACTGAATAACCTATACTTTATTGAACCTATTATCAATCATAGGGAATAATAATAACAATAACAATTTTCAACAAGTAATGAGAAAGGCTGATCTTCATTTATGCTCAAATACAACAGGACGAACAAGCCGGCATCTATTTAACGTTATCCAGTTCGCGCCTCATGAAAGTTGGCATGATGAAGGAAGCGCGGTGGATGTCGGAATTGTAATATTTCAAGTTCATTTTCTCTGCGGCTTCCAGATCCCAAACTGTTACCGGCTCCCTGAAATTTGTGTTCTGTGTGGGAGAGAGAAACAGCAAATCTATAAGTAACAGGGCTATTGGCTTTGGTTATTCAGTTGACTTAAATACTACTAAAAAAATTATCTACATAAGTGTATAAACAAATTTACTTAGCAGATGTCTCAATAAAAGCAAAACCCTTAAAAATTAATACTGTAAGGCTATCCCATTTCTTATATTTGTGACTCATGACACAGGACTAAAATCAGGAGAAGGAGGAGAAGAAAAAAAGAAAAGAAAAAATGCAATTGTTCCCAAAACAACTAACAAACCAGGAATGCTAATTTTTCCAACAACTTCAAGAAATCACTCTACCAAACTTACCTCATTTTTACTGCAGAGGAGAAAGCCAATCTGGCCTGAGGGATATGACGGCGTGCAAGTATAAGCGTATTCGACCACCGGGTAGATCGTCCGGCAGGTCTTGATCAAGGAAGTAATAAGGGCTGTGTGCAGCCACATGGACTCACACTGGCAACAGGGAGAAATCGCAAATTAGATAGGAGGCAGTTCTTGGTACTTTTCTCTCTCTCTCTCTCTCTCTCTCTCTCTCTCTCTCTCTCTCTCTCTCTCTCTCTCTCTCTCTCTCTCTCTCTCTCTCTCTCTCTATATATATATATATATATAAACATACATATACATACACACACATACACATATATATATATACACACACACACATACATACATATATATACACATAGAGGGGGAGGGGCAGTATTTAAATATGAATTCTGTTCCACACAATGTGAAAAGGAAAGTCCAAGAATATTCCCTTAAACAAAAAGATAATAAGAGTTTTAGTCTTACTACCAATCTTTCCTTTCCAAAATTTCTTACCAGAATTAACATGACAAACATTTTTTTTGTTATGGACTTGTTCATAAATCTCTCTGAAGCCTTTGAGGACCAGGCAAAATGAAAGGCAGGATATCATAGTGTTCTTGGGTTTGCAAAAGTAATTTTCAAATACACCTTATTACACGCAATAAACTGTAAATCATCACAGAAATTTGTGTGAAAATGCCAGATTTAATTTTGTTCCCTACCAGTGCAAAGTCTCTACCTCCCCATCAATGGTTAATGGTTAAAACAAATAGATGTAATAGACATCAAAGGCCATATAGCCCTTTGGTAAAGCACTGTGGCAAAAAGGGGCAAAAATGAGTTAATGATTAGGACAAAACATATTTGAGATTGGTGAGTGCTACAGGATAGTATGGTAGTGAAAAGGGTAAAGGGGGTAGAAAATGGAGTAAGACAGTAATCAGTAAAATGGTGAAGGGGATTAAGACCCATGGGCAATTAGATCAAATGGACAGTATCCACATGTCTGAGGAAGGTAAAGGAACAGTGAAAAAGGGCCATTATGAAGCAATCAATGGGTAATGAGGGAAACACATAAGCATCCAGGTGGGAGGATACTGGTGAAGGAAGAGAGGATGGTGCAGACAGAGAAAGGGAAGATGGGGTGTGTTGGGAGAAGGTGGAAGGAAGAGGTGTAGGGGGGTACATGGGGAGAAGGATGACTGTTGGTAAGTACTTTGAATGTAGAGGGAATCAGTATTTTGCATGCATGTTTCCTTCCCAATATGGCATTACAACATCATGAGATTATCACGAGTTCACAAGGTCACTGAGTAATGTATAATGAGATCATGAGGTCACTGATGGATATATAATTATCACACAATCAGTTATAAGAAGAAGAAAACTAAGAGGAAAGCAATATAAAATGAAGTTGGGGGTGTAGGGGGAAGGGGATCCTTACTGATAGCTGACGTGTGCTTGACAGGTCCATAACAAGCACAATGGTAACCCTGACCATTCCTTGCACACTGGCAGTAATTTTGAAACACAATAAACAGACAGCCACAATTTGATTCAAGTCACAAGAGCTTGTTACCTAAACTATTATTGATTATTATTATTGCAACTATTCTTATTATCATTATCATTACTGTCACCATTAATCTTTTAATGGTCCTTTCAGGGGGTTATGTGGCAATACCAATGTATAATAAATAATAAATTACTTGTTGAAGAGCAAAACAAAAGTACATATTATATTCCCTGTTTGCCATTACTCAGTGCCATCCCCTGCATCATTTGACAGCTCATTAATCCTACTCCTATGCTGAAAGCCGAAAAAACAGTCTAGTTATACACAACCACCAAGTCCTTAATTGTACCTGTCATACATAATGACCCGGTCTTCAAAGGGTTAGAACCTAAAGCACGTCATCCTGAGAACTGAACCAACCTGGCATGAGAGTATTCCTCCGTCGGCCAGTTTGTCCTTCATCTTCGCATAATAAGCCTCATTGAAGAGTGACACTGCTGGACCTGAAGAACAGTTTTTCTTTTATTGTTGTTTATGCTCATGAGATATAACTAGGAATTATAACTTAATTAAATAAAATCAAGAGTTGTTGATAATTTAACATAATCTCAGTCTGGCCATGATTATGAATATTTTTCCCCTTTTTATTTAGTCAGTTTTCCTAAATTGTTATACTATCAGTGTTACCTTTTATTTGTCTAAATTCTTTTTATAAGGTTAGTGGATCTGAATGTGTGTGTGTGTGTGTGTGTGTGTGTGTGTGTGTGTGTGTGTGTGTGTGTGTGTGTGTGTGTGTGTGTGTGTGTGTGTGTGTGCGTGTGTGCGCGCATGTGCCCATGCATGACAGTGGTTTCAAGCCTGAAAATTTATTTTGTTAGCAGGGGGCTAGTGAAGTCTTGGGGGCCAATTTGATAGGTGAATGACAGTGTCCAGAATAAGAATTTAATACAAAGCCATGTTTTCACAGCATATTACATTTCAATTTGATGAATAAAGCTTGTAAAGACTGATGAATATTCTTTTCTCTCTTTGCCTATAACACATACAAAAAAAAGTCTATGGAATGGCCAAAGTCAGACTTGAAGGGGCAGTTAAAGGAAAGAAGTTGGGGCCTACTGGTAAATGAACCTGTGCATATATATGTGATACCCTCTGCCTACCATCTTTAGTGGAGCTTCCTTGGTCATCGTCGGCAACAACAGGATCTGACGCATCGGTGATTATGACGTCAAACTTTTCGTTCGTTTTCTCAAGGAATTCTGCGCCATCGCATCGCCAGTGTAGAGAGTCAGTTTTGGGTTGCTAAATCCACATCCCAGTGAAGGAGCATAAGTTTTGCAAGCTTCTATTACCTGTTGGAAAAAAAAGTGTGGTCCTTGGTCATCGTCGGCAACAACAGGATCTGACGCATCGGTGATTATGACGTCAAACTTTTCGTTCGTTTTCTCAAGGAATTCTGCGCCATCGCCAGTGTAGAGAGTCAGTTTTGGGTTGCTAAATCCACATCCCAATGAAGGAGCATAAGTTTTGCAAGCTTCTATTACCTGTTGGAAAAAAAAAGTGTGAAAATTCAATGATCTTGAAAAAATAACAAAAATAAAAATAAAGAACACACAATACTTGCATTAAATAAAAAGGGTTTTAATTTGCACTCAAACTTTATTTTGTTAGCAGGGGGCTAGTGAAGTCTTGGGGGCCAATTTGATAGGTGAATGACAGTGTCCAGAATAAGAATTTAATACAAAGCCATGTTTTCACAGCATATTACATTTCAATTTGATGAATAAAGCTTGTAAAGACTGATGAATATTCTTTTCTCTCTTTGCCTATAACACATACAAAAAAAAGTCTATGGAATGGCCAAAGTCAGACTTGAAGGGGCAGTTAAAGGAAAGAAGTTGGGGCCTACTGGTAAATGAACCTGTGCATATATATGTGATACCCTCTGCCTACCATCTTTAGTGGAGCTTCCTTGGTCATCGTCGGCAACAACAGGATCTGACGCATCGGTGATTATGACGTCAAACTTTTCGTCCGTTTTCTCAAGGAATTCTGCGCCATCGCCAGTGTAGAGAGTCAGTTTTGGGTTGCTAAATCCACATCCCAGTGAAGGAGCATAAGTTTTGCAAGCTTCTATTACCTGTTGGAAAAAAAAAGTGTGAAAATTCAATGATCTTGAAAAAATAACAAAAATAAAAATAAAGAACACACAATACTTGCATTACATAAAAAGGGTTTTAATTTGCACTCAAACTTTATTTTGTTATACACAATTTCTCATGGAATGAAACTCTCTTCTGTCAAAAATGAAATCATGGACAAAATATGTTATAACTATTTATCTTACCTCACTATCTATTTCACACTGAACCACTTTCTCAACTGCTGGGTGTTTGGCTACCTCGCGTGCAACACCCCCGTCACCACCTCCAACAATCAGTACCTGTGGGGAACAGAAATTTGTACTGGAACAAAAAACTTCAGCCATGAATATCATATTAAGTACTATCTTTTTCTACTTCATGCCAGGCTTATTACTGTCAAGTACAGTACAATACAGTAAAAGAAGAAGAAGAAGAAGGAGAAAGGAGAGAGAGAGGGAGGAGGAGGGGGGGAGGGGGAGGGAGAGGGAGAGGGAGGGAGAGAGAGAGATGGGGGGGGGAGAGAGAGAGAGAGAGAGAGAGAGAGAGAGAGAGAGAGAGAGAGAGAGAGAGATGGGGGGGGGGAGAGAGAGAGAGAGAGAGAGAGAGAGAGAGAGAGAGAGAGAGAGAGAGAGAGAGAGAGAGAGAGAGAAAGAGAGAGAGAGAGAGAGAAAGGAAAATTGGGGGAAATGATTTATTTACCTTTTTTGGAGAAGGATGAGAGTTAAGGGGTAAGAACGTTATCATCTCCTGGTACGAGCACTCGTCACGTTCTGTAAACTGGATGGCACCATCTAGCACCATCACTTTCCCATAGTTGGAGCTGGAAAACAAGAAGTAAAATTTACATGCATAACGTTTACCTTGTCAGCAACAGGACTACAATGATGCTTCTAAATACTCTCCTGAACTGGTTGCAATCATGTAAAAGTTCAGAAAAAATGTATTATATGAACAATAAAAAGTAAACTGTACCAAATTAATTTTTTCATTTCCTTTGATCAACTGTAAACATATCAACTCTCTAATACATCACCAAAATCAGTTCCAAATAGTTAGCCACGAAACTTGGTACACATTTTATTTTTTTTACTAGCACATCACTGTCCTCACCTCTCAAACAGCTGGATGTGTTGGTACTTGGACTGCTTTTCATGAAGAACCTTCTCCACCTTCAGAGAAAAGGCTTGTCCGGGCCACATGGGAGACCGCTCCGTAAACCAGCCATCGAGTTTTTGGTCCATCGCACCAGTGATGTTTTCCTTTGTTATAATATGCGTGATAATTGATTTTGATGATTGCTCATCAAGTTACCTAACCATAAAATTTCTGACCATGTTAATCTTCTGCTCCACTGACCTTTGAACCTAGGACAGGAACTATCAACATTGCATTAATATAATACATGTTTTTGCATGTTATATAAGCATTCTATTGTACTTCTTTACTTTCTTTATATGCTAATATTCAGGATTCTTTCCAGTTCATTAGTTTATAGGAAAAGGAATTATATTGAATTCTATGCTTTATCATATAATATTCTTTATCAAAAGTAATTTTTAAAATATTTGACTTGTGGTCCTACTTGTCTTGAACTCTTTCTATAAAGACAGATAATCTTTTCTTCATATCTTGATTCTTAAGTTAAGTTCCATCTATTATGCTTTTACTTTAATCAAATTTGTGAGATAATACCCTATTGACACTGGCTATTCTTGGATTCAAAATTACCAATCAAAGAAGTACTTACAGCTTTGATTTAAGAACTTTATAAAGTATGAAACAGCTCCTTGCTAAGCCTGTTCAAGGACCTATTCGGCTGTACAATGGTAAGACCTTAAGTAGCTGCTTTTGTTGTCTATCTTTCTCTTATCTTATCTTTCTGATAGGATGAAGACCTTAAACAGCTGACCTTCTCAAAAAGTCATAAATTTACATTCTCTTTCATATCAGTAACTATAAATGTATAATGTACAAGCCAGGCAGTAAAATACATTAATGAAGAAAACTATAAAATATGAATGATGAAAAGGTAAAGAAAAAATTGTTGAACATATAATAAATTTTATTTACATAAAAAAAAGGAAATAAAAAATCATAAGCACTCTCCATTCATATGCTACTTATAATAATTTTCTACATATAAAATTTCATATAAAAATACATCAAAATCCACTTCATTTTACAAGTTACTTCATTCATACTATAAGAAGAACCAATTTCATAAAAACTATGATTATGAAATCTCCGTTAATTAATCCATTCTTTAATCCTCATCGCTATCAATGACAGCTCTAGCCTTCTGCCTGCCACTCGCCAAAGGAACGTCATCTTCGGAATCTGAATCCAGCATCCTCCGCTGACTTGCACTGGCTCTCTTGTCGCTCCCTACGTCCTCGTCCATGCTCATGCTCGCGTCCTCAAGCATGCCGGAGGATTCTGTGTCTAAGTGTAATCTCAAGTCATGGCTTTCTACCACAGGGGTGTCTTCGTCCGAGTCGTCAGCAATGATCAATCTGCGCTTCTTTTTGGAGTTTTTGTCTTCTTCCGTTTTGAGTTCAGCGCCACTGTCATTTCCTTCATCACTCATTTGTCTCTTTTTTGATGCTCTTTTGGATGCTAAAGGAGAGCGGACTTGACTGATGGACGACAGGGGGGTATCATCGTCACTCGAGTCATCTTCAACCACCCTTGACCTCTGAGGCACAAGGGGAACTGAATCGTCAACATCTTCTGTGTTGACGGTCGGCACAAACTTATAATAATTTTCTTTATCTTCAGGATTGATGTTTTCTGAGTCAGACATGTCATTTTGCCGCTTCTTGGTCTTCTTAGGTTTGGGTTTGGATTTGGGCTGTGTTTTTGCAGATTTCTTCTTCTTTGGCTTCTCTTCTTGGGATGGTTGTGCCTCCACTGGTTCCAATGGTACATCAGCATTTTCTGAATCCAAAGTCTCCCCTGAGATGCCTTGCTTGAGGTACTGGGCCCGCTTTCTTAGTCCCTCTACGGTGAGTTTGGAAGGCACGCGCCAGAACATTTCCTGGTTGGTCAGCGGAGGCTGTATGCCGATTAGCTTCAGCAATTCCTTAAACTTTTCATCTTCCATGGCATCTGTGCAGGTTTCAGTCATGGCGAGAATGGGAACCGGTTCAAAATCACCATCTTCTTCACGGTCCTCTGCCACATCCAAGAGGACACCGGCAATCCACTCAACCGCTTCCTTCATGTTTGCTTCTAATACTGTGTTCAGTGATTTGGTAATCAATGCTGGAGTCACAACTGGTACAGTGAAAGTGGCTGCCTTGCTTTCTGCTTTGCTAGCTTTCTTAGGAACTTCTGTTCTACTCACTGAGCTGCCCTCATCATCACTGCTTCCTTCACTCTGCACATCATCACTGTCACCATCACTGGCCCCATCATCATCATCATCACCAGCATAACCAAACTTCCTGGATTTCTTCACTTGAGGCTTCTTTGGCCTTTTCTTGCGCAGCTTCTTCTTGTCTTCAACTAAGCCCAGCTCTAATATCTTGTCTACGACCCTGTGTCTAGGCCTCTTAGTGATCATGTTATCCATGATTCTTCCAACGATATCCATTGCATCCTTGTTTTCCTCAAACAACATTCGAAGTTCCTCTTCCTCCACCTCAGTCCACACCTTTGCTGGTTTAACCTTGACAGTTTTGCGAGTCAACTCCTTGACATCTCTGATAAGGTGCATGTCTTTGAGTTTCTTGATGACCATGCGGCGTGTACGTGTCTGGTTGATTAGGTTTTCCAGTATGAGATCGGCAACATCCTTGTCTTCGGCACCTTCTGGAGGCGCTCGGCTGAACTCCTCGAAGAGCCTCAACAGTTCCTCCTCTTCCTCTTCCCTCCAAGCTTGCTTCATGGCTTTCTTGCCGGAGTCCTGTTCTGAATAGCCGCACTCAATCTCCAGAGCTTCTTTGTTTGTCTTAAAGAATAACAATTCCACAAACACCTTGGGATTCGTCTCTGCCACTTTGAAGAACTGACGTATGATGTACTTGGCAAACTTGACAATTTCTCGTATGGAGTCGTTTGTTTTCTGCCTCGGATCCTCCATAGCTTTTTGGAAGATACAGAAGAGAGAGGCCTGGAAGAACATCGCTGGGAGCTTATGGTCCCAGGCAATTCTATGAAACATCCTCAAAATGCAATGGTTGGTGTGGCCTGAATTGGAGCCGTAGTTCCTAAAGAGACGACAATATGCCTGCATGATTTTTGTGTTTGCAAAGCGTCTCACAAAACCGGTTAGATCAAACTCCTGTTCACTGATCTGCATCATGCTTTCCTCCTCCTCCTCCTCCTCATCTTCTTCTTCCTCATCAGGTACCTCTGTGGGGGTATTCTCAACCGGGTTTAAATTAGCCATGAAAATCTCCCTCAAGGCGAGGAACTCATCCGAGTGCTCCATTGTCTGCGAACCAAACACGTCCCCCTCTGGCCACACCTCCCGGGCAGACCGCATCAACGACACTGCCTCTGCCATCTCTTTCTTCCGAAGGTTGCTGTTGATCTTCCTCATCGCAGCTTCCTTTTGCTCGTCGTCTGTCTGTTCCGACAGAGCGTCAAAGGGGATGGTGTCGGGCAGATCACCTGCTTCCCCCTGGACAATTGCCGACAGCTCTGCAGACATTTCGTCCCACAGGTCCTGCAGCTCGTGTTCCGCTGGCTCGTTCTCCGCCTTCGACTGAACCTTGGGCTTCTTCTTTTTGGCCTTCTTCACCTTCTTCTGGACAATGACGTGCTTTGACTTCCCACAGAATGACTCGAGCAACTTCAAGAATATGTGTGTTGTTTCAATCAAGTCCTTTAAGTATGTACTAGACAATTTAACAGGATCATAATTTTGCAAAAGGTTCATGACTAATTCCCTGTACTCAACCACATAAAACACTTTAGATTTGAGTACCTTTGACGACTCCTTGACGGACTCGTTGCTTGACTTGTCCATGTATGCCAGCGTCATGAGGAGCTCCTGGTAGGCCTTCAGAGCCTTGTGCATCCGTCGCGACCAGAGAGGGATCTTCTTCTTGTCTGTGGTCATCATCTCATAATAGTTGTCCAAATTGGTCTGGATATAATGAAACGTATGAACACTCAATGTCTCACTCACTAATTCAATCTTAAATTGGTGATGTCTGTTGAATTCCATGAAGAACTTCATTGCCCACAGGTAGTAGGATTCATCATGCTCCTGTGCACGGGCTCGATTTAAGTTATCCTTGACAATATACATGATACTATTGTAAGCACCATTCAAAAACTCAATGCAAAATTCTTGCAAGAAAAGCCTGATAGCAAGAGTGGATCTCCTCGTGGTGTTGACATCACGCATAGCCATTCTGTTTTTAGCTACTTTCTTGGGCCGTTTAGCCTTGTCGAAGTTAAGTGCACGGATATCACTCACTGGCTGGTGGGAGATGAGGTCCCTGTCGCTGATGCTCTTCATGTTTTGCACGTAGTAGGTGCCCCCAAACCTGGAATGGCGGGCGCTGTACTGCTTCTGTCTCTGCTGCTGTTTTTTGAGGGCCTCTCTCTGCCGGAGCTCAATCAGCTCCTTCTCGTCTTTCTCCTTCTCAGACTGAGAGCGCTGGAGGCCTGCCTGAGCTAGCTGTGCTGGGTCTTGCTCCCTCAGCATTAGGGATATTATCTCTAAAGCATGCATGCACAAATCTTGCTCATTTTCTGATGAGGCAACGTACAAAAGAAGGTCCTCAAACCCAGCCAAGTGCAGAGCCCACAACACTTGGTCGTGCACAGAGGCATCGTCATCTGTTCG